CCCATTATCCACTCACTGGATGGGAGTAAAAACCACCCCTTTGTGACTCCTGGTCATTTGGAACGTTGGGGTTTGGGTTCCACCCAACGTTGGCATCTTGTTCCGTCCCTGCCGCATGTCCAGGTGCCGCGCTTGGAGCTCTTCGACCGCTTTGGGGTTCGCATCAACGGCGTGAGCTTTCATCCGGCGTACCATGAGCTCATGGAGCTCGGGAGCCTTGGTGAAGCCGTCCGGGTTCCGAGCGAGGCCGAGGTCGGCCCCAAACGAAAAGGCCGAGAGCATTCGTACCTGTGCCGGTAGAGGTACGGTATAGGCGCCAGGAGGGTCCAGTCATACCATTCGAGAAGGTACGACTGGATCCCGACTCGGGCAGGACATGGTCCGATCTCGGTACCACTTGTCGTACGGTAGATGTGGGGTCCGATCTGGGTGGGGAGAGGGGCCATGTTCGTTTGTTAGGTGGGAAACCAAAGCATTGGATGCTGCAGGCCCTGTAGGGTGGATATAGAAGATGTCAGCTCTAGCCAGTGCTGTGTGTGCATGAGTTCGTCCAAAAGCCTTCAAAAACCAATGAACCCAACATAACCCAACACACAAAAGAAGTTACACCATGCAGGAGTCAGAAAGGGGTGGTTTTTAGTCCCATCCAGGGAGTGGAGGTGACAGGGGCACCCCTATATCCTCCAGGTTCGGCACCCCGGCATCAAACTGCTGGCAGATGGAGCTTCTAACCCCAGACAGTCTACGGAGACAGAGAGACTATAGAGTCTACAGGCACTCCATGGGACTGTCATATGTACATTTACATCGACCTCTGAAATCTTAAATTTTGCTGGCCAATTTGACATTTTTATGGAGTGTCATCAACCACCAGCCTAAATCTATCAACGGCACACTCAGCTGAACGGACGGAATCAACAGGATGTCCCAACAAGATCAGCAAATCTTCCATCCAACATGATTTCCCCATGTTAAAAAGATCCATTAATCATATAGCAAATCTGCCATCCCACCAGGTTTTCCCGTGAAATCATCCAATTTGCCCTCCGCCGCTGACCCCTCCAACGTCGCAGGGCGGGGGCCTCTGTCTGACGGCAGCTCCACGACCCAAGGCTCACGTCCCAGGCGGCGGCCTTTGCCTGGCAGCACCCGGCCAGGCGGTCCGCGGGTTTTCCTCGGCGCGCTCCAATGGATCCTCTGGGCAGCAGGGTATAGGTATAGGTGTCTTTTTTGGTGGACCTCCTTGAGTAGGTCCATGATGTTCATGTTCTTTGGTCAACCAAGGTACTCGTAACCTGGTTCTGACACACAGCCATATTGATATGTGTATTACTCAGGATGGGGCAGTTCGCAGCAGATCTCCGCCACACCAGTTCGACGAACGCCTTATATAGACATGGGTGACAGGGGCAACGGTTTTCTTCGTGGAAACGGTCAAATCGTCCAATATTGTTGGGGACCTAAAGAAGCCGATTGCCAGTGGATTTGA